TAAGAGAGAAATGTATACTGTTATGACATGCAAAGAGGTCACATGAACTCTTCGGACTTCTGAGAAGACATATGGATGTGGTTGATAATTAAATTATCTCCCAGGTTCTGCAGAGCACAGGTGAGACCTGGGGCAAAGCTGGCTTTCTTTCACAGGGCAGGAAAACAGGAAAAAATTTGATCATCTCTGCAATGCCCCCTCTACAGCACCAATCTTTGCAGTGCCCCTGTAATGAGCAGACGCTAAGACACATACATTGTGGGCCTCAGAGTGCCTTTGTTATTTAACTCCACAGAGGTTTGCCATTCACTGCCTTGGTGAATTCATATGACTACAAATGCAGAATGTAAGAAAAGTGGGCAAAATCCTTCAAATAAACCGTGGAGATATTCCCAAATTGAGATTACAACTCACCCAACTTAGAGGCTTCCAAAGACCCACTGTGCAATGGAGACACAGTTTACCTGGAAATCTTGGGTCACTATTAGCCTCCATATTTTTTGGCACTTGAATTTTCTTTGGTTTCTCTTGTTTTATTTATAAATTCTGTTTGTGATAAACAGAAAATCCATTTCATAAGAAATCAGAACCAACTAAATCAGTTAATTATAAAATTGTTAAGAAAAACCAGAATTCATAGATATTAAAGCATGAAATTGAATGAATGTTGATCCAAGGGTATATGCCAGCCTTAAAAACTCTCTCTCCATACAAGATGAAACTGAAACATGAAACAATGACACACAATACTCAGACATGGATTCCTTTATTTGATCCTCCCTGTCTCCTGTGAACCCCCAGCCATACCATTTCTCTGTTAAAGCCGTGCGACTGAACAGAAGGATCAACTGATGCAGAGGATCAACTCTCTTAGCGACATCATCTTCTTCTGGAGGTTCAGCCCCAGGTTTCTATAAGAAAGTCAGATTTATCAAATTTCACATTTAGAAGAAATGTTCATTCCAACTTCAGGAGCAATAGGAGGGATAGGACCAAACAATAAAAGAGAAGCCCTTCATTTCCTATTGTAGATGTTTGGGTACAGACATATATGTTTTATGTGCACTATACATGCTATAATGTATGTTTGTGTATAAATATGTGCACATATGTATATGTGTTAAATGTAATATATATTGTGTAAATAAATGTGACATAATGTGTTCATATCAATCTCATTGACAATGTAAAATTATGCAGCTTAAAGCAGAGATATTTGATCCCTTTTCATATTTAATTATTTCAATATTTTTGCAGTATTGAACCCAGGGAATGCTAGGCAAATACGCTACCCATGGAGCTACACCCATACCCTCAGAGATATTTAACAATAATCCTGACTTTTTATAGAATGAATTTTATGTCTCCACTAACTCATGCATTTGAATGGATTGTATTTTTATATCAATGGTTTATTTCCTGGACTTAAGGTTTAATGTTATATGTACCAAGCATATTTCTATAAGATATCCAAACATTTATGTTTGCTTTGAGCCTAAAGTCAAACAAAATTGATTTAAAAATTCCCAGAGGCAATAAGAGGCAGGTTTTAATAACTAAATTAGTTTATCCATTATATTCCCAGAGAATTCATGACTTAAAAAGTAACTTTCAGACAACTGGGAATCATGAAGCCTCTGACTAGCCTGCAAACTTTGATGGGACAGTATGTTTATAATTTTATTTTTAGCAAGATTTCCTTCATCAGATTTTGAAAAGATCCTCAACTTATACAAGATGATGACCTGCAGTGCTTTAGGCAATACCAGCTTCTGGGCACTGTCAGTGGAGATTCTGCTGGCTATCACCACACTTCCCATGGCTCCTCTTCTGGGCCACTCTAGCATCTTCTGCCCCATGGACTTTAAAAAACTGGCTACATTTTGTTAGTCTTGAATGTATTTTTGGTGGATAACTTCTTTATAGATCAGACTTTTATAGTATATCCTGGTTCTGAGTTTTATCGGCTTTGGGGAAGAATTTAAAAGAATAACTGAACCAGGTTTTGTTAGTAGTAAACTTGCATTAGTCATCTGAAATTCTGAATAACTGATATTGATGAGATCTCTTGGAAATAAGAGTGACTTTTTCCATAAATGCTTAATGCAGTAACAATTGAGATTTAAAAGTTTCCTAAGATCAATGTAGTGCAATAATGTTTTTTCTTCAATAATCTATGATGACACTATTCCACCATGCTCCAACCTTCTTTCATTTTATAACCCCATTAAAAACATACTGCTAAATCTTCAATCAGCTTATCTTCAAAGTAATGTTCTTCTGTTTCAATCCAAGATTTTTCATATCCCTGAAGAAAGAGATTGACAGCCCGATGCCTAAAAAAGATAAGCACAATTTCAAACAAAGGTTTGGGTTTTTTTAAATTAAATTAAAAAGGAATTTAGCTGTGCTTTATTACTGGACTATCTGTGCACTAAAAATATAAAGTAAAAATAAACTTTCTATTCTTCATCCTCCTCTTGAGAGGTAATACTTTGTAGCAAATTAGAGCAAGGTTTCTCAGATCACATATTGATTTGGATTTAAATGCTAACTCCTGCATTTCTAAGCTCTGTAACATTGATCAAGTTATTCAACTTTCTCTACTCTCATTTTTTTCTTATTTTGAAAACTACAATAACTTCATCTATATTTCAGTTTTTAAGACATAATGAAATAAAGAATGTGAAGCACAAGACATGCATTAAATGGTAGCTATCATTAAATAAAGTTACTCTTAATAAATGATGTAACAAATGTCAATAGATGAATTAATCTGTGTTCAAGTTAATATTAAATGTGAGTCCCGAGGATTCCAAATCAAAACATATTTAAGTGAAGTTTATGGGAGTGTATATGCAAAGATTAAACCTTAGATACTGATAATAAATGGCCAGCTATGAAATGAAACATCAGCAAAGACTGGAAGGGTTGGTGATAACACGACAATAATGAGGGATATGGGTAAGATTTCATTGTAAGATCAGATGAAAACTTCATGGCCATAAGAGAATGTCGTGAGAGAGCATGGGGGGGTGGGGGTGACAGAATGATGGCACTGCAGGATGGGACACTGAGCTCAACGATGAGAAGAGTGGGCTGAGGACTCCTGGAACATAACATCTCACTTGATATGAAGCAAGGAACAAGTGACATAAAGAGGTGACACCAAGGGAAGGATATTGATGGGAATAAGTCACAGGAAAACTGATGAAATTTTTAGAATGACACATAGGAGTAACCAAAAAAGGAATGGGAATTTGAATTCAAGGTTAATATTCTATTTGACCACCTGGTGACACCACGTGGTTCTAGAGCTTAGAAGCAGCACATAGTCTGAGGTGGTGGCTAGTATATCTTACACTCAGTGAGCATGACCTGATCATAAGGAATTCACATGGCTGAGTAGAGGAGAAAAGTGTGACACTTTGTTTTTATGGTTTTCATTGCCTTATATAATGCACCATTGCAAACACTTTAACTGAATGTCCTGACACCACTTGCTGTCCAGGGTGCTGAAAATATAAAATTAAACAACATTCTAAAGGAACATGAAGTTGAATCAGAGATAAATACTTGCACAATAATACAGGAAAGTGCTACAACAAAAAGAAAAATGTATCCTGCAAACAAAAAGGAGAAAGTGTTCCACTTGCAAGGGGGCCAGAGATGCAGCTCTGTTACAAGGCACAGATGCTTCTCTATTCACAAGTATGTCTATAACACCTCTAAGGGAAGGTGGTGGGTTTGTCAAACTTACATTATTCCATAAGTCAGTAAAGGATTAGCCCTTTTCCTCAAATGCTAATAATTACACAAATACTAACAATGGCTACATTTATCATGCCAAGTTCACTTCTAAGCACACTGTACATACTGATCCATTATATCAGCTGAACACCTCTACAAGACAGTTCCTGTCATGGTCCCAGATGAGGAAACTGCAGTGAGCTCAGATGAGTAACTTGACCAATGTCATCCAGCAGAGAAGCTGAGATGCCCAGATCAGAATCAATACAGTTTGACTTCAAATAATGAACTCCCAACTACTCCACAAGGCCTCATACACATGAGCAGATAGTCCTCAGTGTGTAAATATCAATTAACACTTACATTACAGATCACAGTTCTCCAAAAAATACCCAACAAAGAAAAATCACTTCCAAAATTACACAGAAGAATAATAAATCTAAATTTGGCTGTTATATGTATTCTAAAAATTCTGACCTTGGCAGATTATACAAGGGAGCCATCCTGAAGCAGGCCACCACTGCCCTTTTCCTCTGCTTGGAGAGTAGTTTGTGCCACACGGCCTTTTTAGATCTCTGAGGATGCTCCACCTGAGGGAGGATGACACAAAACATGCAAACTTACACCCCAGGCTCCCCCCAAATACAACACTGAAGAGCTACACCTTTTCAGTCCAATTCCAAAAGTACCTTAAAATTATTTGCAGTAAGGGTCAACAATCTAAAAGTTACCCAAAGCTAAATTTGAGATAATTTCAAACAAAAGTGAAAATATTACATTTTCCAAGTAGTACATACTTCAGAAGCTTTGTCATCTCTAATGTTAAAGAAGCATAAAGGCACTCTACATAAAATCATTTGCACATAATTCTCAAAATTTTCTTAGATTCTTAAATATATTTTCTGCCTACACAAAATAATTTTACCCTTTCTTTTTTTCTGTATCTACTGTAACCAATTTTACCACAAGAGCAGCAATCACAAATAGAGCTAATGAAAACTCTAGTGTTCCTTAACATGAGAGATGACAAGGCTCTGAGAAGAGTGCCAGGAGGGAGGAAAGGGATGTAACTTTGCAAAAACTGTTAAAGTATGTAAGTATTTTGTTAGACGGGAACAAAGGAGAATTCAAAAGTCACAGTAAATGAGGCAAGCAAGCTGTCATTAAACTAATGGTATTTGGAACTTCAAGAGGAAAAAGAGATTAATTATTAGAAAGAAAAAGAATCCCAGCAAGGGATTCTAAATTCATTAGTAATCTCTAGGCAATTGAGCACTGTACTTCCCAGACTGTAATATCTCCGGCCAACACATTTAGATTTCTGGAAGAAATAAGAATGTTATGTTAGCCCCCAAAAAGCTGAATTTACTATCCTTTGCAGTAAAAGGTCAAAATATGAACATAAAAATGCCTAGAAAATATTAAGAACATTGGGACTATTAGCAGTTCAAAAATTTAGCAAGGCAACTTGTTTGTTTAATTGTAAAGCACTTCTTTCTGTGACCCTGTTCCCTCTATAGGATCAATAAAGCTTTTTAACAAAGGCCCACTTCATTTTCTTCTGGATGAGCAGGACAGAATCAAGGGCAGTGTGTTAGATCTGACTCACTTCAACTTCCAGTTCACTCTGGTAGCTGAGACTGTACACAGGTGGCTTTTCACAGAATAGGGATGGATGTAGTCAGGAAACAAGTATGAGATACCCAGGCATTGACTGGAAAAGGCTCCTGCCATCAGGAGGCTCTCCACTGGCAGAGCCTGGTATCATAGGAGGAAGGACCTTGAGGAGTGGGCTTTCCTTAAATCAAGGAAAAGGGTCTCTAGGAACTGTGGCCTAGAGGTGCCCTGTGCCCTGTGCCTGTCACTGAGCATCCTGATGTGCTCCTGTGTGAGCTCAGCTAGAGAATGAGGATCAGGAAATGCACAGGAGACAGTCAGCCCTCCTGAGAACGACCAGATATACAACACAAAGCACACATCCCAACAGTTAGGACCCTGTAGGGAAACTAAATCAACAAGTATTTCCTGTGCACCATTGTGTCTGATTTGTTTATTTGGTGCTGGGAGTGAACCCAGGCCTTGTGCTTGCTCAGCACACATTCCTAAGCCACACCCAGAGCCCAGCACACCTACTGCTTCTGCAATGACTTCAGCAAGTTAAAACTGTCTTTGTAACTCAGTTACAAATTAACATTAAAAGTGTCAAAGGGACACATTCCACTCATGGAAATAAACAAATTTATAAGTTAGCTACTTTTACATGCCTTTGGCTCATTTTATATTCTAGTTCTTCTGACTTGTTGTGTATTTATCTGGTTCTGTGTCTGGGTACTCAGAGACCCTGAGCTCCTGGTGCTCAGAGGACACTCAGTCATGGGACCCTGCTGGGCACCAGCCACCCTGGAGTGTGCACCCACTGAGAGTCCCAGCAGGAGAGGATGTGTAGTGAAATGAACCTTAATTTAGAAATATCTTCATCTATCAAGACTGAATATCCTTGTGAACATATACTCCCTTTATTGTAAATATAATAAAATATATCCAGATTTTAATGAGCTTCATTTAATTTACCTAAAATTCATCCAAGCAAATCCAGATTGTGTAGGAAAAAAAAAAAAACATTTAAAAATTCATGACAAGTATACTGCTGGAAATGACCCTCCAGTAACCATTTAATTAACACTTAATGATCTCATTAAATATGTATATAAATTTTAAAATACAAATCTCTGGCTTCATACATATAACTCAAAATTTCATTACCTCAAGTTCCTTTATTTGCTGATTAATGAGATTTTTTTTTTAATACTTCATGAAAACATGAAGGGAGTGTTCAGGGGAAACAGCAAGATTCAAGGACTTAGACATGTAAGTGCAAGCCAACATCTATGTGGCCTGAGGGCACCCTAGCTGTAGTCATCTCCTGAAGTGGAGTTGGAGCAGTAATAGCATTGGAAGGAAATTAAGCAAGAAGGAAATTAAAAGGACAGTCAATGGGAGATGAGAATTTAGCCATCTTGTATTACCCTGCAGCCTTGGTTCTTCCTCTTCCTGTTCTTTTCTGCTATGGCTATAGTACAGTCTTCTTGCTTGCACTAAGGTAAACATGGTTCATTATAGCTATGTACTTCCCTTTCTTGCAAACTTTTGGCTTGTTTTGCATTGTTTTTGAATAAATAATTGCCTCTTTTTAAAAAAAAATAAAAGGACAATTAGATAATATGTTGTTATTTAACAGGGCAGGGATGGAAGTTCAGATATAAAGTCAATCTCAAAGCAAAATGGTCATTATCACTATGATAATACTTTTAAGTATGGTTAAAGGAGATACAAACTTAAAAACATTAGCCAGGCATGGAGGCACACATTTGTAATCCCAGCAACTCAGAAGGCAGGAAGATTGCAAGGCTAGCCTCAGCAACTTAGGGAGACCCTGTTTCAAAATAAAATATCAAAAGGGCTGGGAATGTGACTCAGTGATTAAGCACCTCTTGGTTCAATCCCCATTGTTAAAACACACACACACACACACACACACACACATACACACACACACTCAACACTTGGGTGGCAAAATGAGATAACATGGGTCACATTATATTTCATGTTTAGCACTAAGTAACCAAGTCCATCAGGTCACTGAGGCCCAGGGGTGGACAGCTCTACTGCAATCACCCTGAGCTCCCTCACTCTACTGTTTTTCACTAAATGGACTGAAAACAGAGACTGAAACTTTCATTGCATATATTTTATGTCACCAGAGGACCACTTTTACAGAGATATAACCTTCTAATTGAGGATGTTTCAACTGTTCTGGGAATTCTTGAGCAAAGGGAGTGAATGAGGAACAAAATATACAGCAAACTCTGTAGAGTGAATTAGAGACACCCGGAAATTAGAAACACTTTTCTCACAAGGGCATTGCTCTTCTCTAGGTGTAATTTGTCCCTGATCTCAGAGGAAATTAACTCAAAAAGTATCTGTGATAAAAGGGAAGACTAACGGAGTAAGAGAAAGCAAAATATTTCAACTATGAAACCCATGGAGGACCAGACACCAGATACGCTGTCATAGCAGTAATAAAAAGATGCAAGTATAAAATAGTTAAGATCAAGTTTAATGCCTGAAAATTTTGTTGAAAGGATTTAGAATTAAGTATTTAATCTTAATTATCTATACTATTTTAGAAATAACTAAAAGGCAATAAAAAAAAAAGGCCTTGACATCCTGAAATACATTATCTATACACTGCCACAAAAATCATAAGCTTGAAAGTTGTGCTTATTAAATACTGGGCATTCCTGAATCATATTCTTTATAATGAGCATGCTGAATATATATAATTTGGGCCCATAGTTAACATAATTAACATACATCCTTTCAAAAAACATTTTTAAGTGGCTAAAGTGGACACAATCAAATCCACAAAAATTCTGACCTGCTCAAGATGAAAAAGCACATTTGCTATATCCAGAACTCTCTCCACTGTCCGCTCTGGATCTGAGGTATCTTCTGCTCTGTTTGGTAAGTCTTTGTAAAGAGCCATTTGCCATCTAATAGCAGGATCTTCTAACTGCAGAGAAAGGAGAAAAGTAAATAAAATGAAAGGTGACACGCTAAGAGGCAAGGGTCTAACTACAGTTATTTATTCAACATAGCACAGAGTTAGACACTGCCAGTTGCATCTACACAGGATGAATAAGTTTAAGGGAATAATACACAGCATGGTAACCACAATTAGTAACATTGCATAGCATTCTGAAAATTGGCTAAGAACAGACTGAAGTTGCTCCTACCACTGAGGAAATGGATATGCAATTTGCTAGACTACAGTAATCACTTCATTATGTACATGTATACCAGAACAACAGGTTGTATATCTTAAAAATATACAATTGAAAAAAACCAAAGCAGCACTATGCAGAGAGAAATACAGGTAAGTCTTTGCACTCATCATCTGGTGGAGAGAACAGGTAAAAGTGAACATTTACCATTGTAATGGATAATGCTAAAAAGATACGGGGCACCATGAGATGCAATCTACTTTGTGGGAGGCTGAGAGGATTCCCTAAACAAATAAAGTTCATTAGGGCTTAGAAAGAATTACCAATGGACAGAGAATGGGTAGGGCAACCCTAGACCTTTTCCTTCTCCCACACACATTCCAACTCTTGATCCTATATAGGATCACATTTATTTGCAAACATAGGAATTTACACCACAGCTTACAATTACATATAAATCATTGGAGATCTCTAGAAATCACACTCATAATAAGGGAGTCTACATACTTCACTTGTTAATACCATCAAATTTCCTCCATAGAAGTTCTAATTGATGTCTTCATGTATTTAATAAGGTTACTGTAAATCATAAAAACTGACCAACATAAGCATCTTACTGGGATAAAGCATCTTGCTCCAAAGAAATCAAAGGGAATAACTATATCATCAGAAGCAGAAAAGGCAACCCCCTTTCTTTATCCTCCACTTCATAATTTCCATTAAAAATGAGAGACTGAGCTGGGTGTGAGGGTGCAAACCTGTAATATCAGCGACCCAGGAGGCTGAGGCAGGAGGATCATGAGTTCAAAGCCAACCTCAGCAAAAGTGAGGCACTAAGTAATTCAGTGAAACCCTGTCTCTAAATAAAATACAAAAATAGGACTGGAGATGTGACTCAGTGGTTGAGTATCCCTAAGTTCACTCCACAGTACTCATCCCCTAAAAAAAATGAGAAAAATGAGAGCTTGAGTGTATAAAGCAGAAGCAAATGGACAACATGTAATACTGCAAAACCGCTAGCCTAAGAAAGCACAATTTGAAATGCCAAAAATAACTTTCATTTAGAAACAGAGATTGAGCTTTGTACGTGAGTGACTTTTATACACCAATTGTCCTCTGATGAAATAAAATGCTTTTCTTGGTAGACTTTTTGATCCACAGACTGTACTTTGGAATTTCTAGATTTGAATCTGCATCCTTACTTGTATTTAATAGATAAATATATCAGATAAATTAGAATCTTTATTTTATCTAACATAAAATTATTCCACTGGCTTCAGAATTATTTGCCTTACAATTTCAAGACAGTGTATTTAAGAAGGAGCTTGATTTTGCAAGTGTGTATATTTCCTTAATATGTATGCCTCACTCCTAGCACTAGTATAGACCAAAATGTTAAAATAAACATATACTTCTTACCACTTTACTTTCAGGGGTCTTGTTTTGGGAAGTAAAATATTGACTACAAAATTTTAAATTTCTGAGCTCCTCTTTCTTCCTTTTGCCTCAATACACTACATAAATTGTCCAGATTATTGGTACAAATGACCCTCAGGACACAATGGAAGAACTTATCCAGGTAATAACCATCTTTAGCTGGCCATCTTCTAGGATGAGCACATATCTCTTCTTCAGAGACACTGAATATTTCTAACCTCTAACACAGAAGTGACTGAAGGAGGCCAATTGCTCTCAACACGTGGCTGGGGACACTGAGGACCACTGCAACCTCTCATAGGTCCACACTTTCCCCAACACTCATACATGTAAAAACAAACAAAAAACAGTGTCTTTCACTAAAGGGGAGGAAAAACTTGTACTATAAACTCTGCAAATGCATTTCAGCTGGAGACTGAATTTCTTGGAAAGGTCATAAGAATAGAAAAAAATTAATAAGAGTCGAACTAATAGTTAGACTTATTAAATGTAAACAAAAGAATACTCTTTGGTATGAAAAAATTCCAAATAGTAAGTGCTCAATGGATTACACAACTACATCTAATGCTTCTTTTACCTGTCATTAAAAAGTAGGTATTACATCAATCTCCAGGTTTTCTTTCTGAATTTACATTTCTCACATTAGATAAACTCTTATTCTTTTTGCAGCAATTCTCTCTGTATCCTTTCTAACTAATAACTCCTGAGTACACATACTTGATTTCTGATCACTAAGTGCAAAATTTCTAATTTTTATTGATATCTGTCTCCAAGTCCCCAAACCCTTAAACTCAGCTAAATCCAAACTTTATTTCAACTGTTGTCATAGTTGTTTTCAAAATCTGACATTTTGTAACAATCTACTTTACAAATATAAAATTTATGGCCTTTAGGATCTTAATATAAAAGAATTTGCAAGTCCAATAATGACTAATTAAGATATTTTCACCATCTTGATTGATAAAGTAACATTATTTATAGTTTTAGTCTAAAGAGAAATTAACTAATTTATAGATACTAAGTGTGCATTACAATAAAATTTGGCTTACCTTGCCTTGTAAATGAATATTATTGCGGATTATGTCTCGTACTTCATCCTCTGTGTCTTTCTGTCAAGAAATACATGTTAACTGTTACGGTTTAGGTATGAGGTATCCCTCAAAAGCTCATGTGTGAGACAATGCAAGAAAATTCAGAGGCAAAATGATCAGGTTATGAGAGCCTTAACCTAATCAGTGAATTGATACCCTGATGAGATTAAATGAGTGGTAACTAAAGGTGGGTAACTTGTGGCTGGAGGAAGTGGGTCACTGGAGGCATGCCTTTGGGGTATATATTTTGAATCTGGTGAGTGAAGCCCCCTCTCTGCTTCCTGATCATCATGTGAATCACTCCCCTTGGGCCACACTCTTCCTTTCTGATGTTCAGCTTGACTTTAAGACTCAAGGAATGAAGCCAGCTGTCCATGGACTGAGACCTCTAGAACCATGAGCTCCCAAATAAACTTTCCTCCTCTAAAATTGTTCTTGTAAAGTTTTTTTTTTTTTTGGCAAAGAAATGAAAAAGCGAACTGAAAATGAATCTTAAACATGTCAAGTGTCTCAAGTCAATAAAAGCAACTCAAATATCACTTAAAATAGTGTCCATCTGACAAACATCTTTATTAAAATAAAGGCCACAAATATGGAGCCTTCTCCTTCATGTAATTGTTTTATATTGCTGTAGCTTGAAACAAAGCAAGGACTCTTTGGCCTGAGAGAAAGCACGTCAAGACTGAAAGTAACTGGGCTTCCAATTCATTCCAATAAGGTGGACAGCAGCACATTTCTCTGGGCTCAAACAGAAGCCTTTCCACAGCTTTCTGCCAAATTCCAGAAAGCAATCTTAGCACCTCACAACATCCTCAGTGACCCAGCAGTAGCAAGGAATGTGTGTCTGCAGAATCAGACAAGAGTCAACAGGGCTGCACCTCTGCAGCCCACTCCCCAAAACTGTCCCTCCATCCGCTAGGCTCAGAGGTGCACTACAGATTCTTCTCAGGAACCTGGGCAGGGAGGACATGTCCTCCAATTTATGTAAGCATAAAATAGTCATTTCAGGTGTATTTTTGAAAAATTGCATCCTTCTCTGCATACTGATGAGGAACATCAGAGTACATAAAGAATCCTGAAAACATAAATCTTGATGCTTGCAGAGGACAGCAGCTGTCAGTGTAAAAGTCAACACCTTAGCTAAGCACCGTGGGCATGATAAATTATGCTTCTAACACTGAAAATTCACCTTTCATAAATTTGAATATGCCACACATCACAAATTTTATATATGAGTTCATATGTAATCCATTTGTTTTCATTACCAGAGATTTGTGTCTTTTCTGTTTGGTTTCTGAATATGCCCTGGAGGTGATTGACCAGCTTAAAAATGATCTCAAAAAAAAAAAAAAGAGAGAGAGACAGTTTTTGATTTAAGTCCTAGAATCTGAGCAGAAAAGCTGCTTAATGAAGCATTGAATGAAAATGAAATACTGATATAGAGCAGGAAGCCAAAGAATAGAAACACCCGAGAGTCTGCAGGGTGGATGATTGCTACCAATGGAGAGAGGAGGAGGCTTACCAGACTAAATCGATTTTTGGCCAGAGCAATGAGCTCCTGGTCCCCAGGGGCACAGATGTTCAACCCAATGGGCAGGAGCCGTTTCAGAGCTGCTACAATCAGAGAAGTCTGCATAGAGTAGCGGTCTCCTTTGCGCTTCATTTTCTTCCTTTCCTGGTCAGAAACAGCTGCCTAGGAACAAAGAGAAGTGCCAGGATCAGGACCTGTTTTTCTCCCATTCACAACCACAAACCTTCTCTGACTTGATCATTGTTTTATCTTTCTCATTCTGTGCTAGCCCTTATGTTTTCAAAGTCCTACTATTCTGAGGACATTTTTCTCTTCCCTTCTTAGCATCCTTACATAAGTCCTACTTTCAGATTCCTAGGTCATTATAACCCCTGGCATGCATGTAATCTTTGGAGAACAAGGCACACTATGGTGATAGGAAGGCAGAATGTGAGAATTCTGTGGTAATTTCAGAAATTGCATATTTTCTAATTTTCAGTGCAGGAGAGAAAGAAACTTGAGGCTAAAAAGGATTTTTTTTGGTTTGGTTTGACAAATACTTGCTTTGCTATGAAGATACACATATATAAACAGTACGTTTTGTTCATGTACATACTATGTGTATATACACACCCATATACACACACATAAAATTGAAAAATGTATGGTACATGTAAAACTATTATAAAATACACTTTACTTTTATGTAGTCTGCAAACTTGACTCCCTAGAGTTTCTACTCCTATCTGTAGAAATGAAAGTGATAGGCCAGTGAGCACTTCATCACGAGTCATAATTAGCTGGATCAACAGCTTACAAGGGAATCTACTGCCACGATACTTCAGGGCTCTCGTGATGCCTTTGAGGACTACATTAGTGCCAAAGGTCACCCTGAAAGATAGCCTGATTTTCACTGGGAAGTGAGTATTTATGTTAAGAATGTTCTGATATGAAAATTAAAACAGTTGCCCTCATCCACTTCTTCATGCAGTTTCTTTTTTTGTAGCATTAATTCAAACTGGGAATGTAGTTTCATAATAATGATATTGTTTAATAAATAGTATTGGGCTATCTAAGGACAAAACCAAGGAAAATTTTAACATACAAATGATTTTCCTTATTCAAAAGAACAGAAATAAGCATCATATTTATGTTCCAAAAAGATGCATGGATCTCACTTTTATATGTAGTAATGTATAAAAGATTAAGCTGATAAATTTATCAGAAAAAAAACACAATGAAGAATTATTGGTACTATTAAATTGATTAATACATAAAATTAATGGATAAGTAATTTTAAATGAGCTCTTTATTAAAAAGGAAATGAAATAAAAATAATAAAAGTAATTACCCAAATGAAGGACCTTCATCCTAAAAATTAAATTGATACAAAATGCAAATAGTCTATTCAGTACTTATTATTTTCAGCAAACCTACTATATTAAAGTCTGAATATCATTAGCACTGGAGTTTTCTTTTATTTTTAACTTGTGTGTTTCTTTTGGTCTCAAGGTTATATAAGAAAAAAGAGCTCATACTGATTTTTGTTTTCCTTTGTGTGTGTGTGGGGGGAGGGTGCTGGGGAATTGATTCTAGAGCTAGGGAAGTACTATATCACTTAGCTAAATTACCAGCCCTTTATTTTGTTTTAATTTTTTTTTTTAGATAGGGTCTTGCTAAATTCCTGAAGCTGGCCTCAAACTTGGAATTCTCCTGCTTTCAGTTGCTGTACCTAGCAACCTGGTTTGATATTTATAACTACTGAAATGATCTGATAATAAAAATAATTTAAATCAACTGTATTGTTCTGTTTGTGAGAAACATTAGACAAAGAGATTCTACTTATGCTCACATAATAATCTTGATTTTTATCCCCTAGGAAATCTATACTGGAAAGAGTAGCAAATCTTTGGACATTTATGGGTGAAATCACAGTATGAAGAAATTAAATCTACAACCAATCAAATATCCTCTTATACGTATATATTGCTGGCCTTTTGCTTGTCTCCTCCCCAAAACATGGGGTTCTGTGAGGGTACTGGCCAGACTTGCTCTGTCCCTTCTGTGACTTTAGCACTAAACAGGCAGCCTCACCACAGGAGCTGCTTGAGAACTAAAGAAGAACTGCTCCAGTTATTGAACTTGTACACTATCTTCATTCTCAGTCTATTGTCCAACATTTGGATCAAATATGAACATGCAATAACATGGCCAACATATGGTCATATTTAAGAAGGAAAATGGAAAAAAACTGAGCCCTCTTCTCTCACATTTTTCACATATAAATATGAAAAATAGCCCTACATTTAATAGAAAAGGAGAAGAACAGCACCAACTAGGTCACTTTTCAGAGCTGCAGCTGGCCTTCCGCCCAACAGTCACCTGGCATGAAGTGAGATGTCCTCCTCCCTCCTCTCCTTATGGACCACCTAGACACTGCCCAGTTTCCAATGCCAATTTGAAGCCCTCACTTATCAGTTCAATCCTGGACCATTCTATCCACTCCCCACTCTGGTGAGTTATCTCAGTGCTCATCACCCGTATGAGTGGTAGGTATTCACTTGAACATTAATGTTTTGGTTTTGTGAGGACAGCAATATTGGTTCCTGTGGGTGCCTGCCGTCTGTGAGGCACTCCACAGACACCACTGTTTCCTACCAGCTGGCTAAGGAGTAACCTGAATCCCTTTCCTGACATGGACTGCAGGTTCAGGGGTAGCTGAACTTCTGCAGATTCAAGGTGGCAGTGGGCACTCATGGTCATCTCCTCTCAAAGCTGAGCCCTATCCTGAGCCACACCTTAAATAGGAGCACATCTTTACTCATTGTATATATTTTTTTACTCTGTTGTTATATTTACCATATAAACTTTCAGTGGGGATTTACAAGGAGTTTTTTTTTTTATATTCTGACACTGAAATAGCCAGATAAAAAGGAGACTTTTTAAAAAATATGGTAAACATACTAATTACAAAAGTGAACCTGACTCTAAATGATTGGGGCAAATTATTACATTTCAACAGCACCTCCACTAGCAAGCTCTGATGCTCTGGGTGACTATCCACTTGCTTGATCATGCCAGGGCCAGCTATGGGGGAAAACTAGTGATGCCCCAGAGCCCATGAAAAATATAGCAATAAGCCAGTCTGACAGTTGCTTACCCTGCCTCGCTTGGAAAGTGTAGTCAAGGCTCCGGACTACCCTCTCCCAGGTGCAGTCTTTGTGTTTCCTCTGCAAAGTTTGCTCCCTGCTTCTAGAGACCTGTGAGAGAAACTTCCTCCTTCCTGCGAGTCCTGTCTGTGTCTGTGTGTCTTACTAGACCTGACTCAAACTAGTCCTGGGAACTCTAAAACATTATGTGTCTTTTCATCAGTAAATAACATTAACACTCCCATCAGAGTTCAGTTATGAATCTCCAAAACAAATCCAAGTACCACCCATCCAGGAGAGAGCAATGAAGCACATCGCAGTAATACCTTGGACATCTTTGACTTGGTGTCAGCAATGAGGAACGACATATTGTTGATTTCATTCTGCACAACGAAGTTCTGCTCCTCTCTCTTGAAATTCTAAGAAGTTGTAAAGGAAATTTCAGTTTTAACTATTCAAAAAAGAAGTGTGTACTTAGAGGTCACATAAGAGCCAAAAGTTTCTCAGGAATGGGTATTAATTTATGTACAACTTATCAAGAAAGGAAGCAAGTGTTTGTTGAGTGGGTAATGAGGGGGCGTGGCTAGGGCTCACAATCAGAGGAGCCACAGACAGCAGGTGTGTCTTAAAGAGGGGCACCCTGGTTCAGAAAGTTTAAGCCACAAGTCAGGCAGTGACAAGGATGGGTCCTGCAGCCCAAGTTTCCCTGGTGAGCTGCAGGTACTGCCTCCTGAGGTAAAAGGCACACATAGCTGCAGCGCAACTTTCTACTCTGTCAGATACTTCACCCACTTTTAAAATATCAATCTAGTATGAATTAAAATTAAAAACACAAAAAAATGGCAAAATCATTAAAAATCTGGGAATGAATACAACATATACTAATAGGTTTGTATTTTAAATATGTGAGATTAAAAAGACATTCTGCTTTTTTTCCTAGACATCCATCTAAAAACTTGCTGATTTTAAGTTCCAAAAATGTGTCTTACATATAAATTTAAAGAAGCTTCTTTTGTATCTTAGTGATTGATATAGTTGAGTATTCTCTATTCCCCAAGGAAAAAAAGTGTTGTATTTACAGCATATTATATTGATGCAGCCACATCCATGTTTATAGCAGCTCAACTCATAATAGAAAGCTATGGAAACAACCTAGGTGTCCTTCATTAGGAATGGATAAAGAGAATGTGGTATACATATACAATGAAATATTATTCAGCCATAAATAACAAAAAAATGGCATTTGCTGGTAAATGGGTGAAACTGGAGAATATCATGCTAAGTGAAATAAGCCAATCCCATAAAACCAAAGGCTGAATTATTTATGGATGCCAACACAAAACAAAGGAGTTTGGGGAGGGGAATAATAGAAATCTAATGGATTAGACAAAGGAAAATAAAGGGAAATGAGGGGGGAAAAGGGAGTAGGAAAGACAGTAGAATTAATTGTGGGTTAACTCCACATCACGTATAACATCATGAATGGGATCCTAAATAGAATAAGTTATACTCTGTGTATGTATAATCTTCCAAAATACATTCTACAGTATTCTATAACTAAAAAGAATAAATTTTTTAGAAATGCTGTTTTTATTTTTTCTTAAGTGATTTATTCCTGAGAAACTCCTATTTGTCCACTGAGCATCATAGGTGGAGTGACCCAACACAGGAAATGAAAGGTAAAAGACCCCAACCCATTGTTGCTCTTTGGCAGTTGAAGATGGACTGATTTCTTCTAATTTTTTTTTCAGAATCCTGCAATTATCTTACACAGCCCTTTAAATGAGTTATATAACATAAGAGGTCACTGGCTTTTACCTAGAGGAACATAAAAAAAATCTAAAATAATTTATTATGACAAGAGAGATGAAGAATGTCAATGTGGAGATACAAATTCACATGTAAGCAGAGCCATTATTTCACTTAATATTTCTGTGTGACACATTTTATGAATTTTTATTAAATTTGACAAGGTTCCTCAGATATAAGCAAGAAATAATATTGATTATCCTATTTAAGTAGGAATTTTGAAATATTACATGTTCAAAATGATTTGCTCTGTCCAACAATCTGATAATGCAAATTGCAAAGACCCCCTCGGCTGATCAAACAAGCTGAGGTTTTGATTTTACTTTCACTGTCTCCCACTTACAAAGTTTCACAAAATCATAACTGATATGAAAATTCTAGGCATTAGAGTAATTCTGTACCACAACAAATACGCATACTTATGCTGCTTATTACTGGAAATAACTGAGAGAATGCTCTAAAATTCTTCCTATGATTAAGATCTTTTTTCAGATGTAAAAATCTATAATTCTGTAACATACAAAGTAAAACAAAAATGCACTACAGATTCAGAAATTCCATCAGCAGGATTCTGGCCAAGCTTTATATCCAAAGTCAAATGATTCTAAAATGTGAGAAAAGCCAAATTCCTACAGAAGAGAGAATGTGATGCAAACAAGGAGAGGAGGCAGCTGGTCCCTGGAGATCAGCCTGTCTCGGCACTCAGACACCAGTACCACCAGGAGGCAGCAGAGTGCCCAGAGACGGGGAAAACCAAAGGTGAGATGGCACAGCTCCTGGTAATGCCAATCTCACACTCAGAGTTAGGGACAAATTTTAAAAATGTTTTTATGCAATGCCATTAAAAATAGGTTAACTTTCAAAGATAAATTTCAAAGATCAAAAGTAGGCTATGTTCCCTCAAGGTCTGCAGGGGCACCGTGCTCCCCTCTCTCCCCAGCTGTCCAATGAATCCTAGAGTACAAGTTTGAGAAAAAGCCCCCCAGATATTTACTGAGGGGCTGGTTTATGTTTATAGAGCCCCTACACCTCTAGCAGTAGTTATTGTCTGTCGACAGCATCACACTTACATGGGACTTCGACCAATAGATGAAGACTTCGGCCACCATGCGGAAAAGCTCCTCTGCTTCTGGGTTGGGCTCCTTCAGCCACTTGGCCCTGGATCACACAATACATGTGGTGGCTTCTCAGTTATTCTTCGAGTTATTTATTTTTTTTTAATCATCCTCCCTCCCACAGTAAATCTGTTGACCACAGAGCTCAGGATGTCTCAAGTACAGTTGTGACTTTTAAAAATATGTAAATGAGTGTCCAACTATCAACTTTCACATGCAAAAGGCAGAACATTTCAAAGTAGGATTTCTGATCTTAAATTTCAGATGCCTGGTGAAGATTAACCTACCTATAAACATTCGATCATGCTACAACCATGAGGCAACACCTCACTAAGCAGTTAGTAGAGAAGCAGCTCCTAGGATCTGTGAGCAGAGGGATTGTCAACAGATTGGGGAAATGGCTCTTTTGATGAGTGTACCTGTTATAGTCCACAAATCTAATCAAGAGAGGGTAGAAGGCATAGAGGTCTCTGGCCAGGGTGGTGAACTCGTCTAGGACGAGGAGCTCAGCCTCCGACATGTCCCCTCTGGCCTCAGCTTTCAGGTGGTCTTCCTCAGACACCACCATGGCGGCCTTTTTCTTGAGTTTCTCCATCAGTGGCAAGAAATGAGTTTTTAAGAGCTGAGGTTTCACTTTATTGATAATCGGCTGGGAAAACACTGTGAAGACAGACATCAGGATTCTGCTCTGTACAAACATTCATTCACACTAGGACAGGTGGTTATGACAACTGAGAACAACCCAACTTTTCTCTCCCCAGAACCTGGCTTCTGACAATCAAAGTCCAGGTCCCAGCCTTTTTTCTAGTCCAAAGCCTACCTGCATAGTTAGTGTTCAAAAATGATTACTGGGAGGCTGAGACAGGAGGATCACTAGTTCAAAACCAGTCTCAGCCTCTTAGCAAGGCCCTAGGCAACTGAGGGAGACCCTGTCTCTAAACAAAATATAAAAATGAGTTGGGAATGTAGCTCAACGGTTAAGTACCCCTGGGTTCAATCCCTGGTACACAAACTAATAATAATTACTGAATTAAATTCAATGTGCTTCCTTATTTCTAAAAAGGATTGATAGCTAATTCTGAACAGTAAAAAAAAAAATCTCCCTTACTTTGGAAATTAATTATTTCCACATGAACAAATCCCGAACTTGAAAAAGGTTCCTGCAGCCCTTTCTTTAAGAGAGATACCCTCTGCTGTGTAGTTATAAGACTGCACAGAATTTTTTCATTTTATCACATGTTCGCCTACAGAAGGGCTAAACTACACAAAACAATGCTCTCTTATTTAATAGAACTTAGAGTTGTTAATAACAGTTCCAAACTTGAACAGGTCATTATTAAAAGGAATTTTCCCCAAAAAGTAACATATGTACATTGGGTAAGTTTATTAAAAAAAATAGAATCAACTACGATCACTTGTTTTAAGTCAATAAGGCACTGGTGTGTGTCCTTGGTGTTTTCATCAATGAACAAATTCATAAATGTGTAGTACATCTATTTCATTCTGAATTCATTTTTAACAACTCTTCTTTTTACCTTCTATGACATCATGGATATTTCCTAAGCTATAAAACACTGAAACCTGAATTTTTAAAGATGCTATAATGTTTTAGTATGAAAGCATACATAGACTTTGTAACCACACTCTGGTCATTGGGTAGATTACTTTCAAATTTTTCAATATAAATATTGCAATGATAGATAAAGTATAAATACTCAACATCTTTTGATTTCTTGCCCTGTTTCCTTTGGATATGATTGAAGTGAGCTGCTTAAAAATTCAGTTTTATCTTTGTCTACCTAATCGTTACCTACTGAGTAGCAAAATCAATATTTAGTGTGCTTATTGGTTAATCTTATGGAAACTGACAAATCAGAAAAACTTTAATAACTGTGGAAAGTTACCCAATGTCTGATTATATCCACTTTAAAGAACAGCAGGACAGAAACAATATTTCCAAGCATAGAAAAAATAGCGGTAAATATTATAACAGGAATATTTTAGTCTTCTGTAGTTCAAATCTCCTTGGAAATGAAACAGTTTAGGGATACATTCTTCCCTTTTCTTACCTGCTAACCTCTTCATCCAGGCCCCCTCATCAATCCCCAGGTTGTTATAGATGATCTTCAGGATGTTCCCCAGGAGCGTGTTCATGTGCTCTGAGCTCAGGGCTGTGCAGCAGGTCTCTGCCCTCTCCGGGTTGCTCTCGGGCCCGTGCTCCCACCAGCGCGACATGTAGCTGCACAGCATGGGCAGCACCACCTCCATCACATGGGGCATCTGCGTGTAGCGGATGCCAGACTCGGCCAGCTCCACGATTTCTTCCATGAGTCTCTCCAGAGATGGGATATTTGGACAAACGTCTTCCACGCTGGCTGGCAAACTGAGTGCTAGGGAAGCACACAAAGAGAAATAATTAGTGAACTGACGAGGAAAGGGTGGCTTCTAGTCTTCACAATCAATAGAGGCAACCATCTCTGTGGGGCGTCAGCTCAGCAAGCCTTGGGAGCTCCTCCTCCCACCATGGCAGCCAGGTCAGGGCGGCTCTTTTCCCCAGCGCCTGCCTGAGCACCATCCCCTCTAGGTCAGCACACAGCTGCTCTGCTTTCTTCAGGACAAATAAGGAATGCAAATGTCTCCTGTTCCCAGGCCCACCAGCTGCCCGAGTCTGGTCCCACATGCTCCACCATTCCCCATTTTCAGAGGAAGAGTTTTGTGGTCCTGGGTCTTGGGTCTTCCAGCATCCTGGATGCCCTCCCCACTTAAGGGCCCTTGCTCAAGACTCCTCCCCAGCAGGCTCCAGAGGTTCAAATCCAAACTCCCTTTTCCTAAGACCCCTCTTCCTTAATGGCAATGGACCCAGACTCTCCTGAATTGTGCCAGTGGGACCCTCACTCTCTTCTTGCTGAACTCTCACATGGCGGTTTCTTTGAAATCTACTTTGGGCTTTTTTTCTGTTTTTCAGCTTGCATGTCTATCTAGGTACTTCCTGGCACTCCTGTGGGCCTCTGCTCCAAGTTCATAAGTCTCAGTGCCAGATTTCTTGAATTTTTTTCTTTCTGGACATCTCAAAAGCAGCCAAACCAAATGGTTTTAAATCTAAACTCTTCCTTTCCTCTCCATGTGTTGTAGTTTGGATATCAGGCATCACCCAAAAGCTCATGTCAGACAATGCAGGAAAGTTCAGAGGTGAAATGATTAGACACTGAGAGCTGTGACCTAACCAGTGGATTATCCATGGGGTGGATTAATGGTTTGAATGGGTGGTAACTGTAGGCAGGTGTGTCACTGGAGGCATTCTATCTTGTCCCTGGCTTCCCTCTTCCTCGCTCCCTCTGCCCCCAACTCTCTTTCCTGACTGTCATGAGGTGAGCAGCGTCCTCTGCTATGTCCTCGCCCCATGATGCTCTGCCTCTCCTCAGGCCCACAACAATGGAGTAGGCTGACCACAGACTAAACCCCGGAAGCCGTGAGCCAAAACAAATGTTTCCTCCTCTGCGTTGTTCTTGTCAGGTATTTTGGTCAAAAGCGACTACCAACCTGCCTCTTGAACACGCACTATCGTGTTCAGCCAGCCAGGCTGCAAACCTGGGAGAACCTCCAGGTGACAAGGGCCCCTACCCTCACACCCAAAAGGACCCTACCTGCAGGCAATCCCCCAAGACCTCCTTCCTCGTCTACTCTGTCCAGGGGCCTTGCCTGATGGCCTCGCCTCTGGACCAGCCCCATGGCTCTCTGACAGCTGCTCTTGGTGTCCATCCTACTGTTGTCAGGACAGATTTCAAAATGCATATCTATTTGTGCTATTCCATTTCCAAGGATAGACTGAGGTAGGAGGATAGTCCACTCCCCTTTCCTGTCAAAAATCCTGCCTGCTCCTTCCTGGGTTTTCTCCCTTCTTTCACCCTTCACCCTTTCTCTCCTGGAATCTCTCTCCAGCCAGGTCAAAACGCTTGTGGTTTTCCCCATGTAACAGACTTTTGGTCTCCCCAATTTTAAGACTCATCCTGAATCTGCTGTGATGCTTTCCCAGCTATTCTCAACTAAAACTGCTTTTCTGTGTCCCCAGGGCTATTTATTCCCGATTCTATCACACTCACCACTCTCTCCCCCTCTACTGCAAAGAGAAACTCCCCAGGGAAAGAATCAAATCTCATTAATCTTTCTATATCATCTCCTCCACCCACCCCCAGCATATCACAAAATTCCTGTCCACTAGCTGACTAAAAGTTGAATTAAATCCTTAAATTCAATTCCTTTGCCTTGTTATGCAGATGATTTGTTTACAGAAACTAAGCAAATGAATTACCTGCTTTGTATATTTCCTTATCTGTAAAGAGATAATAAATTGCTTCATGCTTGATTCATAGCAAAGTGTTAAGGAATTAAAAAGCCCTAATGAGACAATTTTTTATGTGTTTACACTGAGAATTACTTAACCATTTTTCACTAATTACAAATGGATTATAGAAATTATGTGGAAAAGTATTACTAAGGCACATTCAAATATTTGTCTTTAGTTTCACCTGCTACTGTATTCATCACTATTATAATAAGTAAAAAAAAAATCATGCAATTCATTAAAAGGTTCTTTATTTGATGAGATCCACTATAAAATCAGTATAACTAGCCAATGGCTCCCATTAACACACATCAGTTACACAGAAACAAGCCCGTGAAGAAAGAGATGTGCATTTGAGAACTCTTTAGGGCTATTAAGCAACCAGATACCACAGACTTTATCAGAGAAAGTCAAGCAGAAGACGATCCTTTGAGGGGTCATGGGGTAATGTCCAGAGTTTGGGAATTGTGCTTTGACTGGTTAAGGCACTGACTAGAATATCTAGTATCCACTTTTATTTAAAGCTTGTCCAACTCAATTCAAAAGCTAGTTAATAATTCTAATTAGAATCCAAAGACGAATCACTGACATCCTCAGCAATGGTCATTGAAAGCTTTCTATGGGCAGATCATCATATCTTCCCAGAGGGAAGGCATCAATGAAGCAGGGGACATGTGTGGACGCCAAGAATATGTGGATACTCAGGCAAATTCAAGATATTGACCAAGGGTCTACAGTTTATGTTTTTTAGCTTTTTTAATGATAAAAGTTTAACTAAACTATCTGAAAAACCCACATGGAATAAAATGAGGTCGACATATCTGGGGTGAAGAAGAGTGAAAGGCACGAATCCACAGATGAGATGAGCGAGGATGGCCCTGCTGACTGACTGCAAGGGACACCTGAACTGGAAAGCAGACCCACTTCTTTTTTCCATATTTGCTGATCACTTGGTCTTATTCTTGATGGTATTGATTTTTCTGTGACTCATTTACTTGGGAACAAACATATTTTCTTTCAGGAACATGAGAGAAACAGTATACAACATTTAAAAAAAAAAAAACAAAAAACAAAACACAATGCCAACTACCAGCCCTTCAGAATAAGGAACCATGGATACCCTCGACTGAAATCTCCCTGGGAGAACCACTTTAGGAAAACACAACACATAATGTCACATTCTGCTTGTGTTCTCAAGCACTGCGCACACCCCACCTTACCTGCTCTCTCTCTGGAAGACTTGGTGTTGTAGATGGAGTAAGGGTTGTGCTTGTCAAGATGTGTTTCCAAAAATGCAACAGGAAAGGCACCTGCGAAGGCCGCCAGGCACTCTCCCAGGGCAGAACGCTGCCTGCAGGTGGAAAATGCTTATTTTTTTTATGTCTTCCATGTGAATGGCTGAAGAAGTCACATGAACATTAACCTTGGCAAGTCCAACCTACCAGCGGGACACTAGGATTGCTACTTAATAAGATAAATCCCCACATCCAATTTCTTTAATGTGAAACATCATGTGTTCAAAAGCGAAATCCCTGCCACTTCATAAAAGCCATGTGTTAGCAAAAAAGAATTTTAAAGGGGGGCAGGCCAGAAGATTAAAAAACAAAAACAAAAACACATACATAAAACAATACAAGAAAAGCTCTGTCACTTCCCCTTCAACTTTGAACACTTTCCTCCCTCCTTCTTTCCTTCCTTCAAGAATGACCTATGGAACCCAGCATGGTAGCCACACCTATAATCCCAGCAATTTGGGAGACTGAGGTAGGAGAATAGCAAGTTAGAGGCCAGCCTCAGCAACTTCGCGAAAACTTGTCTCAAAATAAAAAATAAAAAGGGTTGAGGATGTAGCTCAGTGATAGAGTGCCCCTGGGTTCAATCCCCAGTTCCTTAAAACAAAATGACTTACTAACAAAGAATTCTTGCTAAGTGAATAACTGGATTCAGAACAAATTAAAAACTAAGCACTAACACAATAAAGCATTCCCTGCAAATTTATTACACAAAAGCATTGCTGAGACATACTAAATGCTAAAAAGTATTGATAACATTTAAAACTCATTTATCATTTACAAAGGAAGGAAGTTAAGAAATCACACTATGATCAATTAATTTGGGACAGGCCAGGATTCAATGCATTCCCTGTCAATGACATAAATTCGTTCTCTGTTGGCAATCGACTTAATCCAAGGTTTTCCTGGAACATAACTTGTTTATCAAATAAAGAATAATAACAGAAATACTTTAACATATTATGATCTACATAAAAGATTTTACATAAATACATTAAAGCTGATAAACTAGATCTAATTGAAGAACCACTGCATAATTCTCTTAGCAGCCAGGTTTAAATTCTTCACAGAAAAAAATACCATATAATGACGTGTTCCTTGAACTATGCTCTGAGAATAGTGTCCTCAGGTGACTTTGTGAGCATTGTGTGTTCTCAAGTTTCCAGAGTAAGTTGTTTAACATTGTCAAATGCTGTAGACAGGTGAAGTAAGACCTGAAACTTAAACTTCAGTAAGAAATAAATGTCCATGGACAAGAGAAGAAAAACAGAGTAGGCTAAATAAGACATTGTGATAGGTTTAAAACTTAATGATGTAAAGCCTCCTAAAATTAATCAATAATTAATTATAGTACATTTTTCTTTTCATCAATCTTGACAAAATAATTTGAAAGTTCATTTTCAAGAATAAACCTATGAGACTAGCCAGTGAGATTCTAAAGTGAAAGAAACGTTAGTGAAAGGATATTCATTTAGACAACCAAACATTAATACTTACAAAGCTATACTAATTAAGGTGACAATTACATAGAAATAGGCAATTAGATCAGTGGACAAAAGTAATGGAGTTCACTCTGATGTTTTTAAGATTTTAGTTGCTTTTTGAATTAAACTATTTTTCAAGCAGTTTTTATGCTTAAAAGATATTTTAGACTAAGGAAGCTTTACAAATTATTGAAGTAATGCACTATTTTTGATATGTAAATTATTTTCTCTTTTCCACTAACAAAAAAAAAAAAAAAAGCTAGACCTCTTCTCATTGATTCCTGTGTATGTTTATACTTATTTCCATTAACTCTGGTGCCAGGAGTCCAAGTTCTAGGAGTAAGCTGTGCACATCTGAAATGATTATGATACCTGTCTTTGCACAGGATCGACTCACTTTACCCTCTCAAGTTTTGTAATCAGATTATAAATATCATTTCCAACTATCTTTTTCTTCTGTTTACAAATATAGCAGTTACAATACAGGATCCCATTTTTATTCTCAAGTCCTCCCCCTCATTACCAGTTGCTCACTCTTGTTCACGTTTCATTTGCTACTTGTGTTCAGGTGTGCAAACTGCCTTTTCTCCTGATGTGTTTCTCTTGCTGATTTGTAATAATCCTTTTATTAAATGGTTAACCTCGTGCCTGTTATCTCTCCTGTTTTTATACTTTTTAACATTGTTTTTGCCTTTATCATTCTCATTTATAAAACACAATGCACCAAGAGTTCCTTATGACATGGGAATTTTGACATTTTACAGAATCAAGTCTATCAATTATTTCATATAAGGTCTCTCTCCTTAGTTTTATGATTTAAAAAGTTTGCACTTTCCTTGTAGCAGGTAAAAATGCAACTATCTATTCTAGTTGTTTCCTGCTCCCAGTTTAGCTTTAGTGTTTCAAGCCTGTGTTCTCTCATTCAATATTAACCAAGTGCCAGCTACCCAGATGCTGGGACATAGCAGTGAATGCAACTGTCAGCTAACACCACAGATCTTGCTATCTGATAGGGAAAACAAGAACTAACATGTAAACTGGTAATGTAATACTGGCTGGGTGTAATCTGTCCTTTGAGTATGCCCACAGTGTGGAGAACCAGGGAATCAAGATGCATCTGTTAGAAAGTGACTTTTAAGCTTATAACTAATAAAAAATATTAATTTGGGGAGGCTTTACATCATTCAGTTTTAAACCTATCACAATGTCTTCGCCTACTCTGTTTTTCTTCTCTAGTCCAAGGACTTTTCTTACCAAAGTGGTTTTTTTGTTTGTTTGTTTTTTAATATTTATTTTTTAGCTGTAGTCATCAATACCTTTATTTTTTTTAATTTATTTTTATGTGGTGCTGAGGATCAAACCCAGGGCCTTGCACGTGCTAGGCGAGCGCTCTACCGCTAAGCCACTGCCCCAGCCCTCTTACCAAAGTTTAAATTCAGTTCTTACTTTACCTGTCAGCATTTGACAATGTTAAACAACTTCCTCTGGAAACTTGAGAACATACAAAATAAAACTGGTTTTATAAACTGCCTATATTCAGGCCACTTTGTATTTCTGATACACAGTGAGAAAGTGCACTAGCAGATTCTCACATAAGCCTCAGAAGCACTCTGTTTAAACTTTATGTTAAGAATGGTCTTTGCCATTATTGCTTTACTTTTTTGCCTAACTCCACTGTCCTTTATTAGATCAATTCTTATTTAGCTTAAAGATTGTCTAATAACTCTCAAGGAATTTAGGACAGTCTGGTCAAGTGCATAAGAAAGGAAAAAGTTATACAATGAAACATCCTAAAACCAAACAGCTATTACTAAAAAGTTAAACTTTAAAATTCTTAAATTCTTACCTTTCCACATAAATACTCTTGCTGGTTCCCAGAGCATATAAGCTAGTTAGAATTCTATAACAAGACACCTGCACATCTTCCACTAAGGGAAAAGAGAATCACACTTTAACAACAAAACAACAAAACATTTACACTTTGTCCTGAGAAACTTCGGGCTAAAATCCTTATTTAATACGTTCTAATATTTTTTAACATTTGGAAGAAAAAAATAAGAACAGATTTATAAAAATGAAAGATAAAACTTTTTTTCTCAAAGTTCTTGGTTTTTTGTTTGTTTTGTTTAAGGGAACTGAAAATATTCTCAAGAACATAATGCAATTACCCAGAATATTCTCAGAAGCAATTTGTAATTTTTCTCTGGGTATAAGAATAAAGAATTTCTCTAAGAATAAAATTAACCCCAAGAATATCTGGAAGGACAGGGGATATAGGCAGAATTTGAGACTTGTTTCAAAAGTACATAAAATCTGTATCTTTTACCATGCTCTTAAATGACTGACAAGGAGAATATTGGAGGGAACTGTTATTTCCCAAATTACTTGATATTTAAGGCATAAGTGTGTCACTGTGATACTTTCTAATGCTAGAAAAGCAAAAGAAACCTTATAGATGATCTATTATCCCATAAGACAAATTTAAAAGGCAAAGGAGTCTAAGAACTGTGACTTCCTAGTTCAGATCCTGTTACTGTTCCCTGTGGGTGCAACGAAGCCTGAAGATTCAAGCCCTGTCTTAGGGCTGCTTGCCCAGGAACACTGTTCTGCCAATAGTGTCCTACTGGTTAACATCAAGATTATGTAGCAGGTCCCTGCAGAAGCCCCCTGAATAATTGGTTTTTACACAACATTGCCCATGGCCTGAGGAAGCTCCACGGGAGAGTAGGCACAGGTGGCTGTACTCCTCGGGGTTCCCTCTTGTCCCATGTTCACAGCATCAGAGCAGGAAGTTAGGCCAGCTCACATGCTATTTTTTCCACTTACTCTTGAGAATTCTGTGAATTTTTTTAAACTACAAATTATAGTCAAAACCAGTTGATTAAATCCCTCATGAATACTGACCAAAACCTAAAAATCAAAGTTGAGTTCCCTTAGTGCTATAATAATTTAGACAGGCTTGGTTTCAGTAGCTTCACGTGTGTTGGTTGTTGCAGCCTGTGGCAACACTCCATGTCTACACAGAACCAATTCAAAAGTGATTAATGTGGCATGTCATATGGTCCAACTGCACTAGAAAATTAACATGAAGTGAGGCAAGACAGAAACAGAATTTGGAACCTTGTGTTCCAACAATGTGAACACTACTGTCCCTAACCAATACTATATTGGTCTTCTCTGCAAGCCCATATGATCCAGAGATCTACCACTACAAAAATGGTTCCTATAATTCAAAAAATGGTCCCTATAATTCCTATAATGATTTGCAAAACAAAACAAAAAAAAACATTTAATGTATAAACAGTGTTTGAATGACCCAGATATGTCTTTTATAATCTCTGACTATATTTTTTCAAAAGTGAAACTCTAAGTAATAGACAGATATACATACATATTAGATCTTCTCCAAATTGATGCTGGCCAATGTGTTCAAATAATGACGACAGCATGGGCAAGAGTGCCACCGTGGTGTAATTGATAATCTGCGTAACCCCTTTGGGCTGGTTCCGGGTGTGGGTGAACTGGCCCTGCTTCAGATTTTCCATGGTCTTCTCTAGATCTTCTGCAGCATTGTCCAGGAAAGCCCTGAGCGCGCTCTTCACATCCTCTAGACCGGTCTTCATCACAGTCCTAGAGAATCAAAAGGGAACTTGCATGGGCCCACAGCAGCCAACGCAGCCCAACTTCTTCATTAAGGCATCCACCTATCAACCCAATTTTTTAAATCAACTCCAAAATGTTTTTTCAGTATTCCTAAAGTGACAGGAACATTGCTCAGAGAACTGGCTTCATCATCAGCTTCATGAAGGACCTCAGAGCAAAAGGTTTTGCTAAGCTTGACGTGTTCCATCAGTAGTCTCAACACGGTTTTGTAACTAACACAATGAAGCTTCTGAGCCAGGTAGTTCATCCCAAATCCAGCCAAAGGAGAACACATCCTGAGGCACTGAGTATGGAAGAAACCTTAAAGCTAGCTAAGTCATCTACCATAAATATCTTGTGCTTTCAGGGGTAGCATTGAAATCTTCTCTAGGACAGTGAAGGCTGACCTTGCTACAGAGGTAACACCCTAATGGCACCATTTTTAGTAGGAAGTGGAGGTACAAAAGAGTGTCTGTTTTCTTTCTTTATTACAGAAAACACCTCAAGTAAAACCTAAAACATGGGAATGGATCAGCAAAGGATACTATGGAGTGTTTTCTGCAGTTGAAATTTAAAAACTTTATTTAGGTTTACCTGGCAGACTGTATGAACTAAATGCATGGTTTAGCAGCAAGCTCAATCATGCTAAATAAGGGGTGCTACATTTTGTTCACATGCTGGATTTCAGTCAAGTTGACATAAGAGCAAAATAGAAAGCATTCAAATGTGGGAGTTTGTCTACCCACCTGCTTACTGTGCAATCTTTAGCACAACTTTACTCATTTACAAATAGAAAATAAAATTGTCCTGTTTTCTATAAAGCCAAATGTTGTTATGAACATTAAACACAAGTACCATGTCTGGAGACTCAGAGGCCTCTAAATCCACAAGTTCACCATTTTTCCCTCACATTACATTCCCAGGTTGACCTTCAGTTACAATCTCAGCTGCTACAAAAATTACTGGAAATTTAAATAACCTGAGTAAAGTCATAAACTACTACTATTAGTAATTTACAAAAAGCTTTCTCTTTATATAAGTCCTTATTATAATTCCAAGAAATAAAATCAAGACCCTGGGCCCTTTTAACATTTTTATATATAATTATTACATAGATTCATTCAGACAAAAGTGTACCCATTTACCTTGCATCCAAAGTCTGACCCAAAATATGGAGACAGTTGACAATAGACGTTGCATCATTTCCTAAAGGGGAAACAAGACACTGTATGAACTGCCCTGAGAACTTCCCGACTTGCTATCAATGTTTGTACTGCAAAAATTAGTCAACAGCACAACTCACTAATAAAATTCAACTGAAGATTTTAATAATCGAGTTTAAAATCATGCAGTTTTTCTGCTTAAAAGTGGTTATGCAAATGTAAGTAGGAAAGCAATAAAGCATGTCTCATGAAATAGCTGACATGCTCAGAAGCATTCAAAGCACTGCACAAAGCTGAAAGGGTTTCCAACTGAATTCTTCCAGAATCTTCCCTCCCCATGCTAGCTCATTTTATTTTTAAGTCATATTGTATGTGAACTTTGAAAGTTAGCTCATACCCTTTATGAAATGAAATGGGCTAAAAGTCTAACATTTTAATTCTGTTTTAATGACCCAGGTGTCTCTGCTTTCTTATTTCATTCAACTGCTTTAAGAAGCATTAATATGTCTGAATTTGACAGAAGATGAATTTGTTTGAATTTTGTTGGTCTTTGGCAAAAAGGAAGCACCAAACCATTGCATAAACAATATCAGAAGTCGAAAAAGTTAAGCAATATTCCTGTAAGATATTTGAAACGGGACAGATTCTTCCTGTAAGTAATGGGAGAATCCCATATTCTGACTATTTTATCAGGATTAACAGAACTAGTAGTGATACAAACACTGCATATATTTTGCTTTGTGGCAGGTATACTAAGAAGTAAATAAATAAAACAATGAATCCAAAGTAACATAGTAATTTGATCACTAAAATATAGTTGACATCGTTAGTTCCTCCTATACTTTCATCTCTTACACACACACACACACACACACACACACACACACACTCATCTCCTGGGTCCTGAGGGTGACAACTCCTATTTGAATTTTTTATAACATTTGAATGAGTCATATCCTTTGTACAAAAAGCACCCTAAAATAAATCATGCAAATACACATGGAAATTAATAATGATTCAAAATAAGAGTAAGCCAGTTTAGTGATATGATTTAGTGGCATGATGAATATATGAAAAAGAGTAAAGTATTTATTACTGAGACTCTGAGTTTCTTAAGAAAATGTCTCATTTACTCTGTGCTTCAAATTTCAGAATTTTTATACTAATGAAGAAAAATGAGCAGAAAGGCAAAATTTGTTATCTCCTTTTGTATTGGCAGATGCCAAACCTAAGACTTCTACTGCAGCCCTTAACTATTTCAACAAACATTAAATCCAGATACTCTTAAACTAATAAACAAAATACAATTCTTATCATCTTGGATTTAGTTGGAGTATAGATAATGAACCACTAAGCTAAAAATTAGCATGTAACATAATATCAAATCACAAAATACACGTGTGTATATGTCTACTATATGTATATATATGGTTGTATGCTTGTGTGTGTGTGTGTGTATATATATATATATAAAATCTCAATCAAGTCACAACATGTGTATATATATATATATTTCTTCATCAGTACCAGAAATATATATTTAGGTATGTATATATGTAATCTAAATTAAGTCACAAAATATGTGTATACATATCTATATACTTAAGTGCGTATAAATGTATGGTTAGGGGTGTGTTTGTGTGTGTATATATATAATTTCAGGGAATACAGATTAGAGTAACTGAACCCCTCTTCAAGGTAGCACTTGAGCAGTGACCTCAATGATAGGAGGGGATAAGCCACACAGGAGGAGGCCCTAGGCATAGGAACAGCACATGCAAGGATATCAGAGTGGCAGGAGCGGGTGTAAGGTGGAGAGCTGGGAAGGCCTGGAGCCTTGCATCCACAGCGGTCTTCGAAATGTGCCAACAGGTAGACACTGTTAGGTTTTGAGCAAGACGTGAGCTAATAGGATTTATATTTCCCAGAGATGCAGCATATACAGCTCTGGAAGAACAAGAGTGAAAGTCAGGGAACTACTGCAGGAGCTCAGTCAGTTTCTGTGGCAATGAACTTGAATCGGGGTATTAATGGTGAAGACTTTAAGGACTGATTGCAAGGACTTGCTTACGGATTGAATGTGACCCGAGAGGGAAGGGAGTCAGGGATAATGCCCAGGCTTTTTCTTGAACGACTGGGGGAATGGTAGTTCCATATAATGCCCTGGAGACAGGAGAGGGGAAAGCAGAGTGGGGTGCATGCTCCCTGCTTGAGATATATAAAGTATAGTTACTCAGCAGGAGCCCCAGAATGGGCAGTTGATAAGAAACTCTGCAATTCAAGGAAGAGACCCAGCTGGAGCTACATATCTGGACATCAGAAACAGGTAACTTGAAAACTGAGTGAAATTCACCAGCCAAGTCTAGAAGAAAAAAGGTCCCAGGCCTCCCGGGGTTGAGAGGATAGAAGTTAAGAAAGACGCAGTATGAAAAGTGAGAAGAGGAAGGCCCTGAGCAGGAAGGGGACAAAGCTGTGTATCAGCCTATGCAACTGCCCCCCTCACTTCCTAAAACACACAGCTCTCTCTGTCCCATCCTCTCTGATCTACTGTTGGTTATTATAGATGGTCACTGTTTGTGCTCTGTGCTGACTTTAGCAGTGTCCTTTCCATAAGATCAAGTGCCCAGCACGTGTTAAAACCCCGTTCACATAAGCTTGAGCAGTGTAGTGAGCAGGGAGGGGTGGCTAGGTTTCAATGCATTTATGCTCAGGTAATTGCCTAATTGCTGAGTGTTAAAAAAAAAAAAAAAGAGAGAGAAAAGTTTTTAAGTTTTGTCCATATGTTTTTAAGACTGTGTTACGTATAAACATGTGTACAAAGATATATGTATAAATGTGTGTGGGCACATATGTACATAATTAAAATCAGGTCTGATTCTAGTGACGAGAGACAATACTGGGTCTGAAACAACATAACTGCGCTCGTAACAGAGCTCACTAAATGATGAAAATGACAAATATCCAATATAAATAAGAAGTGTTTAAATCTCAAATTGTATTTTATTTTTGATATAAGTATCTGTAACTGAGGAGTTCTCAGATCAAGCTGTTTCAAGTTCAACTCTCATGAACCACTTCTGTCTGTCATCTGATATAAGAGGATCCTCACAACGCTGCCTTTTCTCCCCCTGAAAAGAGCATTGAAGTTGTTCTAATTATTTGTCTCTATTTTTCTAACATAGCTCTTCAAATGGTGTCTGATTATATTCTCTTCTTTGAAGGAATGAATTATCTTGGCAGAACCCTTGTTAATAATGTGGAATAAAATTATGCTAGCAGATATAAATTTCAATCAAAATTATGAGGGGATAGAGAGAAATTGAAGACTGTCAATGACCATCACTTCTGAAATCTGTGATATATGGAAGAGTAAAACTGAACCATTAAATGCTCAAAGTCAAGGCACATTTAAGTCTCAGATAGGCACCAATCCTCAGAGATTCTCATTACTTCAAGTGACTTTGCTTTTCTACCAAACAAACAGGCACAGTCTGCACATCACTAGGGACACTATAAACATAGACTACTTCCCTAGTATCTCTGACATGGGATGGCAGTCACCATTTAAACATCTGCAGGGAAGAAGCATCAGAACTGTCATGGAAAACCCAATCCATTAATGTATGGATCAGGGGAGGTAGCTGTTATAAGAATTCACTGTTTTACTTTACTTAGTATTTATTTTTAAAATTTTTCCAAACATAATGGTAAGATTAAGATGCACTAGTTAAATCAGGAACTTGCCTGGGGAGAAAAAAATGTAATAATAGTCCTGCTTCATCTTAACCATATATATATCTTGTTGAACATTTGTGGCACTTTAGGGTGCATTGATGATGTCATGCACTAAGTTCTAGGGTCACTGTGAGGTCAAACCAAGAAATTCTAAAGTGATCATGACTACATTCAAAATGTAGCTTTGGGGCAAAGCTGGAGGTCCCTGTGTTGGAGATTCAAAAACTCTTCATGGCCCCTGAGGAATCTGGAGGATTCAGCAATATTGAAAATCACCAGAAAATTGGAAAATGGAAAGAGTCCATAAATGATAAATATTTTGTGCTGGCTTTCTTAGGTCCTTGAATTGAAATGATAATTGTTACTGGAATTCAATGATACTTTCATCTGGAGGGTCATTAATCATACGCCATTTCCTTTTCACTGTAAGTGCCGTAGGCATTTTCATGGACCTCTTAAAGGAATAATAAATTTTAAAAGTATGATTCTCATATATTATAGAATAATTGGATACTACGTTTTCCTTAATAACCTCTCAAGAAAACAAAATAACTCAACTTGGGTTATTTGTGAATTAAGAGCACTTGCAGATTCACAGCCTCTATTATTGCACCTGCTTTTTCTTCCTTCTCTGTTGGAGGATGGCAGGATCTAGATGGCTCAATTTCTCAGTCCTCAGCTATTGAAAAGGTCCCTATGCAAACCACACCTCCTGCCAGGGCCTGAGGAGACACTGTGAGCCCCTGCAGAGTGGAGGGTCCTGTGCCAGTGAGGTTAGTTCAGCAAGCTGACCATCAGCAAGATGAAGCAAAGGTGCATGGAGCAGGACAGTGTTAGAGCAGGAGGCAGCCAGGGAAGGACTTCCAGAGAAGGATGTGGAGTTCACTCCATTCCCAGTGCAAGGACTTCAGAGGACAAATGGTATGTGCAGGGATCACACAGCAGGTGCTCATTACGGCACGAGCAGGCCCTGGGCAGAAAGAAACACAACACAGACACAGTAGAGAGGAAGGGAGAAGGCCTGCAGAACAGAAGCACAGAGTGAGCAAGGAAGTGAGCAAGGATCTGGGAAATTATGGAGAAAGTGGTCCACCAGGAAGCCAGGGTGGAGTGGGTACAGATGAAGGAGTAGGATCTCTGTCCAAGGAAATAGAAACCTACAATATGCAGGAGTGTGACAAGAGACATTGGGAAGGTAAGACTATGGAGCACAAAGAGGCCAGTGGGCATTCAGAGAGAAGCTATTGTGGACTAGGAACTATAAGTGACAGGTGTTTGTAGACTGGCCTCAGTGGAGCGCTGGAGAGAAACAGAAAACCACATTTCTCCCTGCTCACATCCCAAGAGAATGTCCTGTGCACTGTAGACACATGGTGTTTATTGAACAAATGCATTTAAGGCATTAGATTTATCTTTGGGTATCAAAATACAGCCCTTAAGGAGACCTGATAGGCACATCTTGTGCCACTGTCACTGGCATTGCTGCAGTCATAGCTATTGTGTTCTGCTGCCTCTAAAGATGGCTGAAGGCACGTGCACCTTTCAACTGCCTGGAAATCAGTAAGCAGAATTTCCACTTAGCAAAAGTGGAGAGAAAGGAAAGAGTCATATTTCTCCAGTCAACACTGGGTCCTTGAGAATGGCAAATGGGATCCTTATCACTAATCAACCTGAGTGCCGTTCACATCCCAAATTTCCAAAACTTATCTATGCTCCAACTTACAAGTCATCAGCAAGCATTTCAGAATTCAACTGGATGCCTGTATTTATACATCATGACATTTTCTTTCTTCCCCTTCTAAAACATTGTTTGATTCACCAGAAACCTATGTGTAACACAGTTTGTCCCCTCTTTTTAAGAAATTACCTTTTCCCAGTATAAAATAAAGTGATTTCAAAGCCTCCAAAAGAAAAGATGAGGCCTGAGAGCACTACTGATCTTTGTGTTCTTAGATTGGGTGCTTCAATGCTTGGGAACTATTCGAAAGTACAGAAAAGATATACACAAACATGGAGTCCAGATGGATCTGGTAATCCTTCAGATGAAAGAAAAACCTTTCAACTACAGATGATGTTTGGGGTGTAGGAACAATGTGGGGCCAACTTGGAGTAAATATTCACTGCCTGACAGATTCTGCTCATCAAGGCTACCACCAGAAGGCATCAGTCTTCGTTTATCCTAATGCTCCTCTCTGGCCCCCAGTTCCTGATGTACTTAAGATTAATGTGGACTTCTCTACACTTTTACCTTTGCTCATTCTCACCAAACTATTTCTTTGTTAACTTGACTTTCAATTGGGTCAATTAGGTTCTGTCATGAAATTTCCCCTTAATTAAGACAGTACAGGAAATACATTTTAGAAATCAGTTTATTTCCTGCCAGAATGCAGGAAATGTAGAGCATAAAGGTAAGATGAAGGGAATAAATCAGAGTAGTCCAACCTGGTTATACAGATCACCACTGCACCTGTCTGCTGGGTCCTCAGGAAGACCCACAATGCACAACTGGAAAATCAGAAAGCAAGCACCTGGATTACAGGACTTCTGAATCATTCTGAAGATGGCAAGATTTTAAGTGTGTCATTGTACATGTAGTTTGAATGGCCAAGTCACCTAGTATGGCTCGTACATAATTCAATTTATTTAAATAAGATCTAATAAAGAGATCTAAATAAAATCTAATCAATTTGGAAACATTACAGGTGAAAGCTGAAAGGTTATAATTCATACAGCACTTCAATATTATCTCAGATTTGATGCACATAATAGTTATCTAAGACTAGTAGTAGTTTTAACCCATGAGGAAAATGAAAAAGCAAATGTTTAGAAATTTAAGTTCCTTTTCTAAATCATTCAGATGGATAGCTTACAAAGATAGAACTTATAGAACTTATATCCAGTTTATTTTTTTATTCAAAGCCCATTGTTCCCTCTATGACATTATATTTTATAAAGCTAGACTATAGCTGTAATGTGTAGAGTTACAGGCTGCAGGCTTAAAAATCCTATTAATTGGGAAAGTCTCTGTTTGGGTATGTTTGATTAATAAAGGTCTCTTGAACTTTATGTACTTAAAAATAATGCCAAAATATATTAAAAGCAATAATACCTACTTTAATAATATAAAGAATGCATAACATTCTGTAAACTCACATGAGAGGTCTCTAATAAGTTCCTGTTAAAAAATGAAAGTAACGGCATTCAAAGGTTAGGGGATTTACAACATAAAGTACAGGTCTTCTCCCAACAGAAACAACAAATGAAATTATCCATCTATCTTATCCATCAAACCCTTGGATGATTTAGTCAAAATGAAAAATGGATGTTTAAGGACAGATAAAGTTAACCTAATGTAATACAAGGCTATGCATGATTCCTTTATAGATGATTATAGTTTAGAAAATGGTACAAGGGGGGCTTCTGAGATGTTGGAAATGTTCTGTCCTGAGAAATTACCAAATAAATGGATATAGGTAATCCATATAGAATATAGGAAAGCCATAAAATTTCATTAAACTGTCCTTAATATTTGTGAACATGACTGTATGTATGGAATACCTCAAGAAAGTTTCCTTAAAATAAAAAAAATAGTGAGCTATAACAGAAAAATAAGAATATGTAGTATGTAGGAAGTTAGAACTAGCATTGAAGAGTATTATTATGCTTATTGATAAGAATGTAAAAAAAAGCACCTGCAAATAAGCTCCCATCACAGCCATGTGAAACCTCATAGCACACTCAAGGGCAAATCAATATCTGAACCCTCTGTTACTTTGAGAACACGAGTACAGGAACCCTGTTTGAATAATTTTCATAAAAATTGTTATCTGTTAAGAAGAAATTAAACACAAGTCAGTCAACTGGAAATTTATCTGGAGACACTTGCCCCATTGATTTTAGATAACTGAAATAATAATGAAAATTCAGGCAATTTATATGAAATTTACATTTTAATTATTAAGTACCAAATATTATAAATTCTAAAAGTCCAATAGTGCGTCATTAATTAAACCAAAAAGCTATCATTTCTCAAAAATTATAAAGAATGTAAAGTTATACTCCATGTACACATGTCAAAATACATTCTGACATGTATATATAAAAAGAACAAATAAAAAAAGAATGTAAACTGTGTGTGTGTGCGCGCGCGCTCACACACGTGCATGCATCCAATTTCAGTTTATTCACTGTGGATTTTGTAAAAATGGTTACCCTTTTTTATATCCTTAGATTTTCATGTGTTGAACTTAGAAAATGTATACAACACATCTTTATATGTCTAATTGCTAAAATCATTCAATGCTATCTCAAACCCTGTAGAGTGAAGGGCTCACATTTGGGCAGCTGATAAAATTAGGCAAGGATGTATACAATGTGAGTTCTGCCAGCTGTTATAGAATCCTAAGGTCCCACTGCATGGAAAAATCTACAGAAAGTAAGTGCCCACCCTGCATGGCTGTCCAGAAGCAAGTGCCCAGGAGCATGAACTTCAGCTATATGAATTTTCAACACAAACCGAAACTGAGTCTAGGGTAAGTGGTGCTAGAAAAGCCACTTTTGGCAAGGGAAGCTCCTTGGCTCCACCTTCTGGACTACAGAGCTCCAAAGTTTGGAGTGCAGGCCATGCAAATCTGTGGTCAAAAGCATTGAGAACATAAGTGCAGTGTAAAGTTTTGATTTGTAAGAGCATTAAATAACATAGCATAGATTACCAAACAAAAACTCAGGGCCAGTTTTACTTTAGCCCTCCAATAAAACATGGTAGAACTTGCCATTTTCATTCTTTTGCTCTTTAATAATAGACCCTTTGCGTTTGCAATTATGCTTGGGACTGATGTAAAAAAAGACAGTCTTCCATTTCACCAAAGATAACACTGCTTATAAACAACCCTGAGGACCTTGTCTTGGCCTACAACCATGCATGCAGCCATGCAAACGTGCATCCATGCAACCTTGCAGCACACAACACAGTGCAGGAATGGCAAAGAAAACCAAGTGGTGGCCATGCTCATAGGTTTTCAAGGGTCTCCTTACCAAATAGTGAAATCCTATGCCTGACAAGAACTCCAAGTTTGCAGAATAGGCTGAAGACAAAAGAAAAACAAAAGAGAAAAGGGAATGGGGGGAGGGAAGGTAGAAAAGACAAGGGAAAATTTAAAAAAAAAAAAAAAAGAAAGAAAAAAAAAACAGCTGATATGAGCCGGAAAAAAAGCAACATGATGTCACGCAGAAAGAATCAATTATCTGAGCAGAATGTGGAGTAAAGGGATTAAAGAAAGAGTCTTTGAGTGCATACCTTCAACAAACATGGTTAAAAAGCACATAGTATAAGAAACAAAAAAAAATTGAAAGCAAAGCTAATTAATATAAAAGCAATCTATATGTACCCACACAAATATAACTGCTGAAAACTCAAAAAGAAAAATTCAGTTTTATCTTCCCAACTGCACCACTGTATTTCTAGATTTCTTTTTATTATGGCCTTTTTTTTTAACAGAAGAAATGTGGTGCTTTGGTAAATGCTACTTTAAACTTTAGTAAGCTTTATTACTTGAAATGCCCTTCTTTCCCATCCTTGACATAGACCAAATATCCAGTAAATTTAGAAAGAGAACTTGAGCCATGCTAATCACTCAGAGGAGATCAGACATGATAACTGAGAGAACTCTTAGTGCCAGTGAATGAGTTGTGCACTTCTCATCTCCAAGCAGGCCCCTAGGAAGCCCTGCATGCCATGAGAGGCAGGAGATTCTAAATAGTGTTTGCTGCATTTGGTATAATGACCCTGGTGTCCACTGCCTCTTGGATCAGACCCCACACCCTGGGAGAGTCTGTGGCCTAGTCTCTTCACTGAGCCTCAGTCCAATGGGCTCCTGCAGGTCTCCCTTTAGGATCACCCTTCACGCACCTCATGCTCTGTGAACTTCTATCCATCACTCAGGATCAGCTCAGATCCTGTCCACTACAAAAGTCTTTCCTGACACCTAGTGCCCATTACCACTCCCAACCTAAACCAAAAGAGGTCAAGATTGTCCCAGCTGCTCCCAGTTCCATTTGCAGATCTCTGCCCTAGGATTGAACCTTGAAGATTACAACTAGTATTTTCCCCACACCCAGCCACACTCTCTGAGCTCCTGGGGAGAAGAGGCTTGCCCCACCAGCACTGCCTACAACCTGGAATAAGCCACCCACACTCTGCCAGATTTTCCCAAGAATAGATTCTCATGGGCCATGCTGCTCTGGAAAGCTCTCCTGCCACCAGCAACACCCAAACATACAAAGCACCTGGATTAGGGCTGCAGACCAGCCAAGAAGGAAAACAATGGCAAATGATCCATGGCAAGAGGGGGAGAGAGGGAAGAGATGGTCATGCTTGAGAGGGCGACTACGTTAATAGTAAGCTCCAGTCATCGTACCTCACTGCAGTATCAATGTGGACTAATTTACTGATGAAAATTAAAGAGGGCATCTTATAGCTTTTTCCAAAAAAATATTCATCTACAAGTGTCTGAGTGAAGCTGAGTGTTTTGGGAAATAACAGACCAAAAATTGGAAAAATAATGACCTACTAGAGTAGTTATTAGATAATTACATATTAGACCTTTGGTCTGCATTTCTATGCTGTAATTTTCTTCTGTAAGCTAAAAATAAAGACAATAAAATGAGAACAACTCTGTTCAGGAGCCTCATCCATCTACCATGCTTCACAGATGACGTCTGTGCATGTGAGTCAACCAGGGTCTGTCTTTAAAAAGAACAACCGCCTTTAGAACAGTTCACCCTGGATCCCTGTACTCCAATCCATTTTAGGTGATGTCTTTGGCTGAAGCCTCTGGTTCAAAGTAAGACATTCTGAGGGGTTCTTGGTGATGTGGGGTTCATAGTGCTAGGATTAGGTTTTAAACCAATTAGGACACTTTTTCTAATGGAATCAAGGACTCAGCATCTCATCCACTGGGTTCTATTTAGTGGCTGAGAATCTGTCAGAGAAAATATTCTTCACAATATCTGCTGCCTCCTAATCACCTGGCCCCTCAAAGAGATGAGTTACATCTCGTTTCCCTCTTGTACCCTCCACCCAGGCCAGAGCTGCTGGAAAGCCTATGAGATTTGATGATGATAAATTTCAGCCTGAACTTTCTCTAAAAGTCCTTCTCCTGATGGCGCCATCCCATTTTTCTCTTCCTATGGCTGCCTCGTCCTTCGGAATGCTGTGTCAGCACTTGCTCCTGCCTTACTCCAGCATTCCCTGGTTCTCATCAGTGGCCCTCAGCAACAACTCCAATTACCTTTTCTCACTTGCCTTCTTGGAGTGCTCTCTGCAGTACCTGGCACTGCTGAACACTTACATCTTTGAAACTCTTGCCCCTTTGGATTTTGTTTTATAGCAGGTTTTTTCACTGCCTAATTGATTATGCTCCATGTTCTTCAGAGACAGGTTCTGGAATTCTCCAAATGCAGCACCTCTCCAAGTGTGGGCATCCAATCGTTTTGCTTCCCTCTCCACCTTCCTTCAGGATCATCTGCTTCCACAGCACTGGGCGCTCCATGTGCACATGCCATTTATTGCCCTGATCCCTCCACAAGCACCAAAGACACATTTCCTGCTGGACACTTGCAGCTGAATGACCTGCCTCTACTTCAGTAGCTGTTGGCCAAATCTAACAAGAGCTCTTGGAAACTGGCTCTGTTTCCAAGATCTGTTGTTTTGAGGATGACACCAGGGACATGCCAAGCACCCATAGCAGGAGCACAGGCACAATGCTGCACTCCTTCTTTCTTCTGGCCACATTGCTCGTGGCCAGGACACACAGACTATTCCTCTTCTGTAGCTCCTGCCCATGGCTGAGAGCTCCTCTACCCCCAGTACTCTGACCTGTCTCTTCCAGGGTGCCTTGTACAGTTAGCCCTGCCTCACTCGGGCAGTTAGTATCTATCCCAATCTATGTAATCCACCTTCCCTCTAAACCACCAGAGTTTACACCTACTAATATGATTATGTAGATCTCTAAAATAGTCCCCTTTCTTAATTTTGACCTATAAAATCTTTAAAACCAGCTTTATGGCATGATGGCATGACTTCCACCATCTCTGGCTCCTGCAAGCCCAATCTGACATAGCCTGACTCTGAACCCCACTGCACGGCCACTTCCTCCCAGGAAGGCTGCATCCATGTTCATAGAACAGCTATGCTGGGCACCTTCCTACAGGCACAGGCCAACACTGCTTTTCTCTGTAGACATGATGGTGATGATTTTAGATCCAGTAAATGCTCAATATATAATTTATAGCATGAGGAAGTATATATCTAAGCATCGCACGGAAAAAAAAAAAGTTTTGGATTGTGGAGAATTAGACCCACATGGCTGTTAAATATACACTACAGATGTCACGATAATGCTTATCATGTATGTAAATGTGTACTAGTTTATTCACACAGTAGCAGGGCCAGTTTTTTATCTACTTTATCATATTTTATCTTTGTGACTTTATTACCCATTTAATTCACTTAAGTTTTAATGTTTATCTCAAGTGGTAAGATTGGAGACATGTAGGACTGGAGGTGTAGCTCAGTAGTAGAACACTTGCCCAGCATGTGTGAGGCCCAGGGTACAATCTTCAGCACCACATAAAAATAAATAAAGGTATAGTGTCTATCTACGAGTTAAAAAATTTTTCAAAAAAAAAAAAGAAAGGATACATTTATTCATTTATAAATTTATAATCTCGATAAATTATTCAGATGGTTTTGTTATTGTAATGTTGCTATTGGTTGCTTTAAAACCTATCTGTATAATGAAATTTTTTTCATTATATAAACTTCTAAAAACCATGTACTTTCTAGATATCTACATATATAAGTTTAATATTTTTAAATTGGGTTAATACTATTTGAGCACATATTTCATTTTTTTAATCACAATCATTTTCCTATTATTAGATATCCATATAAAAATAATTTTTGTAATGCCATTATTATAGAGCATTACACATGTATCATCATTTACTTATCATTACAGTATTCATTTTTTCATTGATGAATTTTTCTGAGGTTAAATTCCTTTGTGTGAAATTAACACATTATCATGAAACAAATTACTTTCTATTAGACATCCTTTTCTGTGTTAGAATTTTAAATAGCATATGTTCCTTTTTTGTAAATGTTAACGAGAGAAGTAAAATTCACCAACCCTCCTTCTATGAGGTGAGGAAAGACTCAGGAGGAAATTTAAAGAATCCTGGTGCAGAGCTCAGAGAGCAGAGCAATCTATAGTTAGTCTAGGGCCTCAAAATTACATCACCTGAGGCTACAACAGAATAGCAATGATCTGATTCATTCCATGGGGAAAATGGAGTTGGTAATGAAAAGTTATTATTATTTTTTTTTTGGTGTATAGATCTATAAATTTTTTCAGCCTTATTTAGGTATAATTGACAAATAAAAATTGTGTATGTTAAAGGTATACAACTTGATGTTTTGACATATATGTATTTCATGGTCCTTGAATACTTCTGAGAATAAGGCTAACGCTGAATGGCAGCAACAAAATATGAAAGAAGACGGGAAGAAAGCAGAATTTGCATCAATGTGTGTGTATTTTCTGACTATATTTTCTTTTGATTTATATAATTCAGTGATGTCTAAATTAACAACACCCTCCGGGAACAAAGTTTCTATTACATAAAGCAACTGTCCCTGGAGGAGGAGAAAACCTTGCAGTGTCCTCAGTTTCCGGATGCTCTCTGGGGATTTGGTGACCCTGGGAATCCTGTTGCTGGTGTGCAGTAACAGACCACAGTGATGCTGGCCCTGAGAAGTGTCTGAGGGCACTTAGGAGGTGCCCAGGGCCACCACTCTCCCTCCTAGGGCTGGAAGGCCACATCCATGGGAAGGGTGAGTGGGCATGCACATCCTGCAGAGGGTGCTGAGGTGGTCCATCTGGAACCATATGTGGGAAAAACCTGTTACTGAGATGGACTTCCCCTGTTGTTTACAGTACAGCTTTATCAGTTCACAGGAAAACTATCATCTGAGGAGGTTTGAGGTTTCTAATGCTGTTACAATTCTATGTCATGTGGCTGTCTACATTAGTCCTAAAAATGGAAAATTAACTAAAAAGAGGAGCTAACACCTCCCTCCTAGCTGCATCTTCCATCAGGGCCCAGGAAAACCGCAGTTCCTCCGGTGTTCTACTTTACACCCTTTACTTGCTGTTAAAGAAATCTCGTTCCAATACATTCTGATATGGTCTGAATCTGAAATGTCCCCCTAAGGCTCCCTGCTGAAGGCCTGGTTCCAGGACAGCAATGTGTAAAGGTGGGGCTTTTGGAAAGTGACTGGACTCTGAAGGCTCTGATCTCATCATCTCATCAGTGGGAATACTGATGTGTTCCCAATGTGACATTAGTGGGAGGTGATAAAAACTGCAGGAGGCGTGTCCCCAAACTAGGCTCCTGGGGCATATCTTGTCCTCGGCCCCTGCCACTCCCTGATCTTTCTGCTGTCTACTGCACACCCTCTGCCATGCTGTTCTGCCTCATCTCAGGCTCAAACAATGGAGCCAGTCAACCATGGACCCCTGAAACTATGAACTAAAACTGCCTTTCCTCCTCTAAGTTGTTTTCCTCAGGTATCTCACAGCAATAAAAAAAGTTACACATATTATAAAAGGTTTTGATGATTGAGCAATGAAATAATATAGAAGTGGACTTGCTTACTTACCAATTCTCATGTGTACTAAGTTCTAGCAGAATTTTGAGAAAAACAGATCCCAAATACCGAGCAAAATCACTCTCACAAAGTATCTAGAATGAATGCTTTAAGCATAAATGAGAAAGCATTTCTAAGACACCGGCCAGGAAGGGAAATGTTCAGGAAATAGATATTTTTATTTCATTACTTTTCAAAATTGGCCATTACTTTAAATTTTTCTAATTAAATTTGTGTAGGTAGGATTTGCTGTTCTCAAAAAATGCCAGCAAAAATATTAGATTTGTAGAAATATTAAATAATGTTATAAGCATCATTTCTTATAAATACAAATATGGCAATGTCTGCCCAGCCTTCTTTCTGAGGATTCTGTTTCATACAATGTTTTTTCCTCTTACTCAGCATTGCATTTAGTAGCAAAATATACAGAAACTCAACATCTATAGCACTTATCTAAATTTGCAGAAACTGTCCTCATCTAGTATGGGACTCGGATACAGGACAGGAAGGAGACTCTGCTCACAGTACCACCTCAGGGTCCCCCAGTTCTTGCCCCAAATGCAAATGCACTGAACTCAAGCAATAGTCTTTCTGGCGTGGCTGTTTACCTAGTCACCATCTCCTTCTCTTTGTTTGATGCATGTCCCCCGGAGCAGAGAGGTCGACTTGCTGCAGATAAGAAGTATAAACGGTGGTTTTTGAAATACTGATCAATTAAAGGAAGAACGACCTGAAAGAAAGGAACAGAAAACAGATCTGTGTGGTGGACTCTGTTGGGGGATGAGCAAGAGCTGAAGTTTGAGAGCAGTCAGAGTTCTGTTCACAGGCCAACAGGCCCCAGGTACACACCCCCTGGGGTACAACTCTCTAATCTGCCCTGTGTCTCTAGTTCTTGAGTACAAGAGCTTGCACATGCAGGCCTGGGTTGGGGGGGGGGGTTGATGCAGGGGAATGTGACTATGGGGAACTTAGCAGGTTTTCAACAGTTTGGAATGATCCTCAGTATTTTTAACCTTTTCTCAAAATGAGATATTCTCAGTGTTTTCATATAATATGATCCAAAGCTCAAAAGACTGAAAAATAATTATGAGGACCACAAATTGAGTCTCTACCATGAGTGAGGTCTGCAGTGGACACAGCCACCTCCCCTGTACTGGTAACTGCACTGGGTGGCAGGTGCTCTGGTCCCTGCCTTACAAGTAGCATACAAAGATGAGCAAGTGGCTCATCACACTGCCACTGCTTGCCTACCCAGTCCTCACCCTTCCCAAAGCCACTGTGCCATCTCTGTACACATCCAGTCCCACTGGCACTGTGCCCACACACACTGCATACTCTGTACAAGGCACCCCTGTCAGGAGTCCTCTTCCCACTGCCCCCTGCTTCCTGCAGACCTCAGCTCAGCAGCACTTTATCAAATCAGCCTTTGCTGACCTCCCAACTACATCAATCCCTGTATTCTCTGCTCTTCTAACACCTCCGACAATTCTGCATTTCATACGTGTGCTGAAGTTTCTCTTCCCAAGAGCCTCCATGGTACAAGAGAGTGGGGGACATTTTGGGTCTGTTTCCCACTGTGATCCTCTCTTAGCTTCTAGGACTGCTACTTGGTCTGTTTGGCTTACCACAGATTCTCCAGTACACAGGGCTGTTTGGGGCCCATACCAAGAACTAGGGAAATCATGGTTCAACAAATAAATATATAATTGATGACAGTTACAATTAACCAGTATTCAACTCAAGCCCATCTAAATATACCTCTTCATACCATGTGGTACATCACAGTTACATATGAGGAATATACACATTTTACATTATCTTCCTTGAGCATTGTGCCATGGATTAAATTGAATGGTTGACACATAGTAAGTACTGAATAAATATGGTCAATGAATGAATTATAGACTTGGTAGAAATTAAGTTACATTTAAGCACCTGTAACTAAAATTACCAGAGGCACAAGACAAAAATAATGGGGAAAAATGATGCATTTTAAGGTTGTGTTAGAAGTCACCAATACAGCATTTTGGTAATTGGTTATGAAGGGGGATTATGATCCAATGGAGACAGGAGATGGTGGGTCACCTGATTTATCTATCTTTCTATTTATCATTAGCAACATGCATCCCAGGACAATTGGGTTGACTGGAACAGACTCTGAGTGCTCTGATGAGTGGAAAGAAAAGACAAAAGAAATGATCTTTACAGTAAACATACAATTCTGAAAACATCATGGAAGGCAAATATCAAGTAAAAAAAGCATGCAATTTCACTGAAGGAAAACTGACAGCATTGGTTAGATCTTCAGGCTCATTGCAAGGTGTCCTAGACAGGGACACCGACTGAGGGCACTAGGCCTTCCCAACAGCACCTAGGCCAAGCTACTGCCTTCCCACACTGGGACATAGTTAGTACTGAGAAAGTGAATGAGCTCAGGATGGGAGCTTCTCAAACCTTCATCTCCTTCCCTCTGTGGCTAGAAGGAAGTTATGAATGTCCCAGTAATATAGCAAATCCTTGATCAATTCTTATTAAATAGAATGAAGAATAATGGGATATGATTTGTATATGAACAATGTATCCTCTTTGAGCCTAAGCATCCTCATCTGTAAAGTGAGTGGGACAAAAGGTCCCACAATAATGATACTTGGGTTGTGCCCATGTACAAATTAGTAAATGTTTTCCCTCCTTCTAAAAGAAAGATTCCTATAAAATATTAAATCATAATAATATTCAAATGTTAATTAACCGACACTTTTCTTCTATGTCATAGGAGCAAACCAAAATACTAACTTTGACTTAAATTTCTGACAGCGCCAATTCATCAGAGGAACGTGGCAGGGGATCTGGGCGAGTCTGTGTGACCAAGGATGCTGGCAGCAAATCCACCCCACATGATTCATACAGTTATTTTTGTGCCACAGAATATTTACTTACAGTGAAATTGAATTACAGACAAGTACATTCTGAAAAGCACCAACGATCTAATGAGTATTTTTATAAACACACATATTGAAGCAAAAACAAGATGGATTGTATACTGTACTTTGGCAAAGAATTTGATTTCTTGTTCATAAGGGAAATGTTCTCCTTTGCTTCTGCTGCCACCATCTGTAGATAGGAAGAGTTTTTAGGTACATGTTGCACTTCAAACATTCCAAGATATCCACCCCAAATGCAAAAGTTCAGAATGCATTGCTAAATCCCACTAATCTACATATAAAAAGCCAACAAAAATGCAAAAACTAACTTCACCAGTTCAATTTAAAAAGGGGATTATAATAAAAGCTCAAATTAAAATCTAAAAACTATGGAAGAGGGCTAAGGGTATAGCTCAGTTGGTAGAGTGCTTGCCTCGCATGCATAAGGCCTTGAGTTGAATCCCAAGCACACACACACACACA